TTCATGTATGTGTGATTGTCAGACCCTGGCTAGATTCAAACCTGAGGCTTTTATGGAGTTTTTGCCTTTAAATGCTTTTCCTGTTGCACTTCTCACCTAAATGCTGATTCAACTCAGGCTTGCAGCATTTGGATGTTCCTGTGTTGGTTATTGGCAGGTTTAAAATATGCCTGCATCATGCAGCTAGATGGTGCTGTGTTCCCCAAAATTATAGTGAAGTAGGTTTTTAGTCGGACTCCTGTAGCACCACCTTGTGGCTCGTTGCATGTACTACAGATTTAAATTGCTCCTACAAATCTGGCAAACGTGTCTGAAAGAGGGTTAATGTTCCCCTCACCTTTGTTCAGACACTCCCACAATAGTTACGGTCATCCCGCAGGCTTTATATCTGGCATTTGTGCAAAAGACTACTTGCGCTTATTGCTGTGCTAATGAAATTTTCTCCTGTGAAGTGTAACCACACTTTACTGTTCCCATTTTGCCGTCTGCTGCACTGTGCTTCTGACATCTGCACCCTCACACACAGCCTCTGACAGAGGGAGGGAGAGATCAGTTGTAGACGACTGTTTTAATCTTGCCGCCGAGTGGAAGAGTTGGTGGGATAACTTGCCATGTCCAGTGTATTTATTTCTAGGTTGCTGTCTTGTGAGTTGAGCAACCCACAGAGATGCAGGTGTCGCATTTATGTGACTGCGTTCATTCAGACTTGGTGCATGCTTAAAGTGATATATTAATGTTGCAGTGTTTGGTAAGATTTTATTTTTTTTCATCGTGCTCCTTCAGGCATGCAGCAAACGCATCAGGATGCAATCACAATAACAGGATGCTGTGGCTGACGGGCTAATGTCACACTGGTTATTTAAATTAAGGAACCTACTTTTTAAACTTTGTCTCCTCTCGCTCATCCACAGATGGAGAAAATAGTAGTTGGTGTTGTACAGAGAAACCAGCCTGTTTACATGTCTCCTGTGGACGATGTGTTTGAGGAGCACTCCCTCCCTTGTTCAGTTTTTGTTTTTTAAATCATTTAAGTCTGCCAGCAGTTGCTAAACATGGGGGGGGTAAAAAAAAAAAGTGCCTTTTCTCCTCTTGCAAATTTCCTCTTCCCCTACCTCAAAGTACACAACTTACCATTTTGACCCTGACAACCCCAAGGCTAGTTTCCGTCTTTGGCGTTTCCGAGTGATTTGTTGTTGACTTTCTCTAAAACTGTTGAAATAAAATGCACCCTTGCTTTGTGCTTACAGGCTGTGCTTGTTTTATGTGAAGGGCTAACTTCAACATCTTTAAACTGTGCTGCTGTAGATGACACTTTCATGTTTTTAAATAAAGCAGAAGTGATCCTGTCTGCGAGGTGGTAAAGACGAACACTTCCAGTCTCTATTTGTGCTTTATTACTTCTTCCAAACTGCTGACTTGAAAGTAGGAAGATGACTAAAGACTAAAATATCTGCCCACCCTACATTCAGCAGTCGACTCAAACCCTTTTACCTCATTTGACTTCTAAATCTCAAACATAAGTCTATTTAACAGCAAAGGATATGTTGTCAAGTCAGCTGGGAAACACTACAAAAACACTTTATTAAAGAAGAGACGGGAAACTTGAGAAATGGTTGGTATATTTAAAAAAAAAAAAAAAAAAAAAAAAAAAAAAGCACAAAGGCAATAAGTGAAATCTAACTCTGAGCCAGTAATATTTACTCTGCTACAAGAAGTAGCAGTAGCGGAGTAAAGATGACACTTAAACACAATGTTTTCTGCATTTCATAACTCTGTGCAGGCTGAATAGATAATGCAAAAATTACAGTATGCAGTAAGAAATCAAATTGGGATGTGAAATACTGTTAAAATGCTGCTGATGAAGATTTGGTGCTCGATGAAATATCTGCTGCGTCCACCACGCTGACTCTTATTGGATCTGCTTTGAAAAGAAGTTGTGTTATTGAGACTGCATGTTTTTTACTTTGATTAGTTTGTGTGAAATCAATGTACACCCACCTTAATCCTTCAGATTGTGTTGTAGTTCAGAGGCTTCCAGGCAAATTTGTGGCAGTAGAACAGAGTCTGCACAAAGTGAGACATGCATCGCATGTAATACTGCAGTGTCTGAAAGCTGAACGGGTGAATTCATTGTAATAGAGGTTTACTTACTCCGCACTTGAGAGCAGTCTTGACGTCTCTGCATCTGTATGTTGTCAGAGTGCATGGATCTGCAGGTTTAAAGCAGGAGATAGAAGAAAGTTCACTTGGTAACTGAGAATTCTTTAACGGGACGTTTTGTATACTTTGATTTGTGCTTTCAGATTAGACGGATGCATCAAATTTAAATCTGTTCCTGGGCCTAAAAAGTACTGTAATGCATGAATGATGCAGTTGTAACTAAGGTATAATTATGCCATATTAGGTCTGCACTTAAACTTTTTTTTAAATATAAAGCATGTACAAGACAAATTATTGGACATCCTGGTCTCTGGAGATTTTGTGTCCAACATATGACATATTAAGTAAACGATCACAATCACTGCAATAGAAGCAAGGGAGAACAAACTGACCCAGAAGCAGAGATTCTTCCCCTTTACAGAAGTGCATGAGGTGACAGATGGCCTGCGGGGTCGCATAAGCCAGTATTGCATCCAGCACTGTCCTGCTGACCTTGTCGATCACAGTCTCACACTGGTTGCGGTAGGAGGCCGGCAGAATATGGCAGATCTCTTCCAGCAGCTTGACCACTGCTTCCTGTAGAAGAGGAGCAGAGTTAAAAAAAAAAAAAAAACGGGCAGTGATTACTCTCAGCTGTGTGGTCTGATTGCTTTTAAGTGTCTGTGTGCAGCACAAGGAAGTACTGTTTTTATGTGCGCTACATAACCGTGTTTCACCTCTGTTCTTTCTTTGGGAAGCAAACCCTCCAAAGTCTTGATGAGGAAGGTGCAGAAGGAGCATTCGGTTGAAGGCTTCACCTGATTGAGGCACATAAATGGCAAGAGTTCAGCACAATGTTTTTTGTTTTGTTTTTTTTCTTTTCTCCCCGCAATGTGTCTTTCTAAACTTCAGATACTCACATTATCACTTGTCACAGCAGCCTGAAGGGCCTCTTGGGCAAAATAGCTGAGCATCTGCTCTTTATCACAAGAGCTGCAGAGCCCGAGGATTTTGCACACCTCCGCTGGTTTCTGTGGAAGAGAGGAAAACATGTTTACTGACTTCTCAGTGTCAGAAATGCCATACTCAAGGATGCATCTGGTTTTGGACTTCTCAGACTTACCAAGATGGAAGTAACAAAATTGATGGCCAGTGGGAACATCTTCTCCACCTCTTGTTTGCAGAGATTGGCAGCTGGACCGTGCATGAGTGCACACACGCTTTCAATGCCATTCATGATCTTTTTCTGTGCAGAATAAAGCGGTGAGTCAGAATATTGACTTAAAGACTGGTAGCCCCATTTGTCTTCAGCTAAGTAAGCAGAGCAGGTGTGGCATTTTTTGTTTTTTTTGTTTTCACATTACATAAATAAACTTGTTGATTTATTAAAATGCATTTAAATGGCCTGTATTTGTATAGTGCTTTTACTAGTCCCCCCTAGGGACCCCAAAGCGCTTGACACACCCAGTCATCCACCCATTCACACACTAGTGGAAGGCAAGGCAAGCTACAGTTGTAGCCACAGCTGCCCTGGTGCAGACTGACAGAAGCGAGGCTGCCATATCGCACCATCGGCCCTTCTGGCCAACACCAGTGGGCGGTAGGTGAAGTGTCTTGCCCAAGGACACAACGACCGAGACTGTCTGAGCCGGGGCTCGAACCGGCAACCTTCCAATTACAAGGCGAATTCCCAACTCTTGAGCCACGATCGCCCCGCTGGTTGCTCGTTTTCCTTTTGTTTTGCTTTGTTCATTTGTCTCTTTTAATTCTATTTTGTTGTACTTTTTCAACATGTTCAAAATAAAGATTCAATCACGATCGTCCCCCCCCCCGTCTTCTGCCCCTTTAGCTTTCATCCAATCACAACATGTTCATTAACCACCTACTAATACTATGTGAGGCCCTAAACCAGAATCAATGTTGTGGATATAAAGCTTCAGTACAAAATCTTAACAGTCACAGAGTTAACAAGTGAACTGAATGAATACTATTCAGTTTTCTATTTGTGCCTAACAGTAGCAGGGTTTTTTTTTTTCCAGACTTGTTTACTATGGTGTCATGTGGTAGTGGTTGAGAACAAGGCATATGTTACTTTTTATTTATATGTTTTCATATTTTCCTCTATATAATACTATTTAAAAGTCTTGAGGAACCCTTTTCTTGTTAAGACACTTAATACTGACCTATGATGCATTCAAGCATCAAAACCCTAGTATTAGTAGTATTTTTGCACCAACCTAATCAAAGGTTGGCAGACAGGTGCAGCGTGTCCGTAAAAAGTTTCAGGAAACTGGACAAATAGAGGATAAGTGTTCATCATTGCCTAACAAGAGATTGAGTCTGAGTGGACAGGGTGGTTGTCGGGAAGCCATTCTTAAGGAAGGGAAATAACAAGAGAAGGTTGACCAAATTACACTGAAAATCAGTGGCAACAGGACTTATGGAGTGATGAATCATCATTTGAAAAATTTTGGGTTTAAGTCATTTTCAGAGGAGCTCAGTAAAGCGATCCAACAGTGAGTGTTTACAGCCATCTGGCATCTCCTGTTGTGTGGGGATGCATTTTATCCAGTAGTGTGCCTGCCTCTAATGGTAATGGATGGGCCTCCCAGAGCTCAGCATTATTGAAGCAGTGTGGGATCATCTTGACAGAGAGCAGAACAAAAGGCAGCCGACATCCAAAGAAGAGCTTTGAATGTCCTTCAAGAAGCCTGGAGAACTATTTCTGAAGACTAATAAGAATAGTAAGAGATAACACGAAAACAGTTCAGGGTGTGTTGAAGAATAAAGGAGGTCATACCAAATACTGACTTTCAACCTCATTAGAATCAGACTCTGTTTTTGTCTCTTACGCTGTATTTCCATGTATGCTTACACATTGCAATGAACCACTGCACCTTTTCCCCAGCAAAACACAACCAAACGAGGGGTGGTTCAAGACTTTTGCACAGTATTGTGTAACAGTTTTGTTTGTTTTTTTTAAACAGATATTTGGTTCATTTTTGTTTTTTGAGATTAACAGTGTGCACTGATACAGTGACATGTGATTAAACGCTGGTATTTTTTAGGTGTTACTTCGTAGCGGCAGAACCGATTTAAAGGTGAAGCGTGGACACTGAGCAATGCTGTGTTTGGTGAAACTCAAATATTCAGACACTAATGTGTTGTTTCTTTTTTTATATATACATCACTCCATGTCAGTGTGAAAAAGGAAAACAAGGGGTGTTCACAATACAGCTGTGTTCATTAAATAAAGGCATTGCTTGACTTCACACCAGCATGCTGCTGTGCTACATAAGCTCCAGACACATACTATGTAATAAATCCCAAACATCTTTTTCTCCATCTTTCCATGTGTACATCCTCTTTTATATCAATGTTTATCAACATACGTGATAAAAAAACCCAACTTATTTCTGTCTTTGGAGCCTGTAAACCAGATCAGGCTAGATCAAAAGAGGATCTTGGAAGTCGTGTGTGTGTGTGTGTGTGTGTGTGTGTGTGTGTGTGTGTGTGTGTGTGAACAAAATTTGAATGGTAAATTTCATTTCAACTTTTCTTAGAAAAAATAGGAAGTGGCTCACCACCAAAACTATGAAGTGACCTTTAGTTTGGTGTGTGTGTTTTTAAGACATGCACAACCGGTTACAGATTATTTACATCTCCGAAGGTGAAAAATGTGCTTTAGATGATAAGATTACACTAAAAATTCCTGGAATGTAAAATATTTAGTTTTTCTTTATTCATGCCACAGGTCTCATATTTTAATCTTATATAATATATTTAATATGGGAATGGAAGATGTGGATAACATTATCAGCGAGCAAATTTGAACATTTAGGAATGTGTTTGCTCCTCGGGCACCAGGTGTACTCACCTGCAGGTCTGCATTGGAAAGCATGTCAACAAGGAGTTCAAATATTTTGGTGCAGTCTTGGCAAACATCTCCGGTCTGAAAAACAAAATCACATGATGAACATAAATTAATACCCTAAATCTAGGTTTGTTGGGATCTCTGTGCTGTTGGCACAGTTTAGTTTGGTTTAAAGTTTATTCAATCTGGATTCAAAAGTAGGTGGTAAAACTTTTACAACCTTTTATAACTTGACGCGTAACAGCAGACTTCTTCATTTTGAAGAAATGAAAATCTCACTTCTCAACACTGCGCCCTTACATTTGCTTTTGCCCTCACTGTGAGCAGTGCTAAAGTATCACACACTCCTATAGTGTCATTACAATTACCCACAAAAAAAAAGAGTTTTAGGGAAAAAGTCTGCAAACATGTTCATGGTACTCAGGGAAATTATGTGAGTTTTTTCCTTTTTACTAACTACTACTAACTTTTAAATTACAGATGTCCAACTCTTTTCACATCGAGGGCCACATACAGCCCTCTTTGATCATAAGTGGGCCGGACAAGTGAAGTTTCCCCTCCTGTGAGTTTAAAGACTACAC